TTGAAATTCACTTTGTCTGCAAACACAATAGCTACCCTTGTCTTTTTCTGGCTTCCTGTTTCATGGAATACTGTTTTCCACCCTTTGATGTTTAACCTATGAGTTTCTTTTTGAGTCAGATGTGTTTCTCGTGTACAGCATATTGTGGGATCCTGTTTCTTGATCCATTCTGTCATTATGTTTCTTTTGACTGGTGAATTGAGCCCATTTATATTTATGGATATCACCAATACATGCTGGCTTGACTTTGCTGTGTTGTGTTCCTATTGTTGGTTTCCTGCTTTTCTTCCTTGTTTAATTTCTCGTCCAGTCTGGTGGATTCTTGTTGTTGTTGTTTGTAGATTTTGGTCATTTTTATCTCTATCTAGTATGTCTTTCAGTACTCTTTCTAGGTTTGGTTTTGTGGACATGAATTTAGTCAGTTGTTTTTTGTCATGGAAGTATCTTGTTTGTGCACTAGGTTTGAAGGACAGTTTTTCTAGGAACATCAGTCTGGGTTGAAAGTTGTTTTCTTTTAGTGCTTGAAATACTTCACTCCAAGGTGTTCCTAAATTGGAGTTTTGTGCCGAAAAGTCTGCTGTGATTCTAATAGGCTTCCCTTGATAGATGAGTTGATAGATGTCTTTTCTCTAACAGCTTCAGTATTCAGTTTTTATGCTGTGTGTCTTGGATGTTAATTATTGCATGTCTGGGGTAAATTGTGTTGCTTGTGACTGTTGGCATTGTGTATACCTCACGTTTCTGTATATCAAATTTTTTCCCTTTGTGTGGGAAATTTCCTGCCAATACTTCTGTGAATATTTTAGTTATGTCATTTGCATTGACTCCTGCATCTTCACTGATGCCTATTAGCTTATGTTGTTTCTGTTGGCATCATGTTGAAGCTGCTGGATTGTCATTTCATGCTGCTTTTTGTTTTTATAAATTCTAACCTTTCGTGATCACTATCTGTGATCCTGTCTTCAGGGTCTGAAATTGTATCCTCATCTTCATTTAAATGGTTTTGTTAACTTTCAATGGAATTTTTTATTACTTGGATGACTCTTTGAATTTGTTGTATGGATTTTGCTTTTTGCATTGTTCCTTCAACGTTTTGATCAATTTCCCATGCTCTGTATTTTTTAATCTATTTTTTCTCCAGCTATGATGAGCAACTTATTTACCAAGGTTGTTATTTTTGTGTTTAGATAAGACATTATTTCTAATTTTATTTTTTCTATAGCCTCATGGATTCTTTTTTCTTTACTTCATTTGCTCTCTTTTCAGAGATTGCCGGTGTGTGACTTTTAAAGTCCTGTATTTCATTGTCACTTGTAGTTGCCCTGATGGACTAGATGTTTGAGATAGCATTTTTCCTCTTCATTTTGTCATTTTCACATTTTGGGTAAATATTTGGTCTTTGAATCCCAACAATCTGAAGTATCGGTAGTGGTAATTTGAGGATCCTACTGTGTGGTTGATGTTTGACCAGTTTCTGGGTATCACGGTGAAGAGGAGAGCCAGTCACCTGAATTCCTCCTACAGGGCCTGTTGGGTGAGTCCTATATTCTTTCTGGACTAACCAACCTAAAAGTGCAGATGTAGGTTAACTCTTAGTTTCTGCTGTTGCTTTGTCTTCAGGTTGTTGCAGGTCACCAGCTCTCCTTGTCCATAGTGTTTGTGTCAGCTGAGGCCCTAATGTGTCAGCGGGGTCTCATGAGCTCTTTTAATTTTGTCCAAGATGGGGAGGCCATAGTTGCACACTTTTCAACCTGTCTGATGTTCTCTGTGTGGAAGAGGGGATTACCCACTCTCTTGCCAGGTTCATCAAGGTCTTACCAATTGGAAGGAGTTTCACTTCTGCTCCTATTTACCCACGGCAGACCTGTGTTTTAGGGGCAAACTTACCACACTGACTAGAGCCTGCTGAGGTCTTCTGTTTGGGTGAGGGGTTCCCTAGGCTCCCATCCAGCCAGCACGGTAATTCACTGTAGTCCAAGTTCTAGAAGAAGGGGTTGAATCCAAAGACCAAATGAAGTACTAGCTAGGTCCAGGTCGTGGGTGGATTCCCCAAAGAAGAGCCCACCATGGCTGTCCTAGGTGATCAGTCATGCCACTGGTGTCCCAGGTGTTCTGTGGAGGAGTGGGCCCAGTAGCAGCAGTCCCAAGCAAGACAGGAGTGTTGGGGTGTCCCTGGTCTTCCTTGGTGGCAGTATGAGGTGGATTGTTTTCCAGGGTGTCCCAGCTGTTCCCAATGAGGGGTTGGCCCAATGTTGGCAGTCCTAGGAGGCCCAGGACTGCCTGGGCACCCCAGGCAGGTGTTCTTGTAGAAGGGTGGGCCCAGCAGGGGCCTAGGTCAACCTGGGGCTTCCCAGTTGTTCCTAGCATCCCAGATGTCCCTTGGGGAATGTTGGGTGTTAAGCATGGTGCAGAAGCTGTGCTCCATGGTGGTGTGGTGTGGTTCTCTGTCTTTGTGCTTTTAAAAACTGAATTGCAAACTGGGAAGAATTAATTAATTAAATCTTCTACTTGATCTTTTTTACTGTGTGTGTTTTTGAGACAAGGTCTTGCTGTGTAGTTCAGGCTGGTCTTGAGTTCATTTTGTAGCCCAGGTGGTCTGAAACTTGCACCAATCCATCTAATTCAGCCTCCTGAGTTCTGGGATTACAGGAGTGCACCACCACTGCAGCATTTTTAAAATCTTTCTTTTCATAGACAAAACCTATTGTTCCATTTCATTCCAACTAATATACTTTGTGTTTTTTTAAATGAAATTAAAAATTTTTTTGGTACCAAGGATCAAACTCAAGACTTTGCATTTGCGAAGCAAGCACTTACACTGCTGAGCTAAACACCCGGCCCTCAACTAATACGTTTTAATCAGTAGTTTCTCAAGTATCTTCTTATGTGCTTTCATCTCTGAGATACACTGTCTATCTGCATTATGCAGGTGAATGAGTGAAATACATTAAGTATCCAGTGGCCTGGATGACGTCAGTTTTAAAGTTTCTTCGAGAATGCTTTCAAACCCAATAAGAATGACTCACAACCTTTAAATTCTGGAGAACTATACTGTTATGTGAACAGGGAAGTAACAACGAAATTAACAGCTGTGTTGTAATCAAAGGAGTTTATTACTTTGTAAAAACATAGACATGGAAATGAAAAATAAATATAAATTTTAGGATTCTCTCACAAAACATCTGCAAGTAACATTCAAATCTTTAAGTTTGAAATTCTGTAAATAATTTTCTTTGGACAGCGTAGGTTGTTGTATTTGAGAAGGAAAGAAATGTATTTCATGAGGCAAAACACTAACTTTTTTCTTTTAATTCGTACTGGGTATCAAACTCACGACCGCCTGCTTGCAAGGCAGGTTCTTATGCCGCTGAGCTAAATCCCCAGCCCCAAAACTCTAATTTTTAATACTGATGTAACAGTGTTGTAAGTTGTCTAAAATTACTTAATTTCTGTCCTTTAAAACCTATATTATGTTCCTAAGGTTTGTGTAACTTCTGTCTTAAATAATCGGGCTCCCAATGGGGTACGTACAGCTAAGGTAACATGTAGGATAGGTTTCAAAATAAACTTTCATATCAAATGCTGCTGTTGGGGTCCAATTCCTTTATGAAACATGCCAATAAATATTGCTCTTAATACTCTCCTTCACCAAATCAAGAACCAAGTAATTTAGGTACTCAAAATAGAGATAGTGCACTGCTCTTAAAGAACCCCTCAGAAACAAGAGGGAAACTCTTTGCAATATAAAACATCCCAAAAATCTTAGTGTCATTTTAAGCTTTGGTACCATGTGTAAATACAGAAGTTAAAACATTATCATATATTTTCTGGAAGTATTAACTTGAGAAATGTGAAAATTAACTTTTAACTTTTGTTCTAGTTCTTCTCTCTATCCTTTTTTTAAGAGACTAGAAAAAGTTTAGAATAAATGAATAATATTCTAAACTCACCAAACTGAAATGTTTTAATAATGATTTGTAAGTTTGCAGCTTTTCTACCTGCTCCAGAGCTCTTAAAGGCACAAACATAGTAGCGAAAGGCTTAAAAGTACTCTGAAACTTTTGGGATGCCTTGTACTTTACTATCTGTAGTGATTATTGAACCATCATATTGGTTCACATTATAGAAATATCTTCTGACATGTTTATTTAACAAAGGGAAATCATCAAAAAATTATCAGCACCACTTTTACCTCATAAGATTCTGTATGAACCCGATAAAAGTAGATAGCCAATAGCAGATGATTTTTCTTTATGACCACAGACATGGAATGGCATGAGGCTGCTAAGTAGTGATTGTAAAGAACCTGAGTGCAAGTGCTCTCTGGCTGAATTTTTATGTAAAATTGCTGACATGACTGCCTAGGAACTCAGTGATACCACAGGAAGGAAGAACCTTCAATACTGATGACGTGGCAGTGTAGTCCTAAATGATTTCATAAGTGTGAATACTCTCATTTTGGGGCTGGGTGAATGGCTCAGTAATAGACACACTGCCTGAGACATGGATAGGAATGTGGATTTTTCTCTCAGCACCATGTAATACAAAAGGTTCCCCATTTTTTAACAGTAATACTACGCTAATCCTAAAAGTCTACACAGCTATATTGTGGCAGGGGACATCAAAAGTAAACAGATACTATTTAAAAAATCTACCTTAAAATTTATTAAAATTTTAAACTAGCTTAAATTTATACTCTTAATGTAAAAATCTTGCAGAGTTCACAGGCATTGGCCTGTGAAGTAAGCGAATGGTTGTGTCAGCCAGGAGCTTCTGCTTTGTGGTACTAGTAACTCTGCTCACATCAATGAAGAAAGGAAGTGTGTTGTTGCTTTCACAAGGTCTCTTCCCATGCAATACAACTATAACTGTCCAACAGTTTCTGAAATTCAAGGTCTTTCCTTTTGGCAAATATGTTCACTTTGGATTTTTTTTGAAAGACTGGTGGTCCATCTTGTGTAAACGAGGGTCTACGATGTCATAGCCCTCATCTCTCTCTTTTAAGACAGGATGGCTTTAGACAGTTGAATTCCAGTGAAGCTGTCATCACTGGAAGCTTTTCTGATTTCACCTCTGTGCAAGCCTCCATCCTCACAGTATCTTGACATCGCCTAGGAAAGTTTATCAAAAGGAATACAGGTAAAAAATTTTTAAAAGACAGAAACCTTAAAGAAAAATAATCTAATCACAGAAGTTTAGTCATACAAACTTACTTTAGCTACTTCATGGTCACTGATGCTTTGGGTGTTTGAGACCTGCACTGCCAGGTTAAGAGGTTGCTACTTCCTGCCAATTCACTAATATTCTTTAATGATGATTCAATTACCAAGTAAGGGGAAGTTTGTTCAGTTACAGTCTTTACAAATGGAGTTTCCAAAGCTGACAAAATTTGGTGATACGATAAGCTACCAACAGCATTTTTTATCGTGTAACTATATGAAAAATGATAAGGCTACATATGTGCAAAAACAATCAGTAAATACTGAACCAGCTATTCCAATGCTATCTGACCATTATTAGTTTCCAAACCTTCCTTGGAAGGTGGTATGAATTTAATGTAGAGCAGGAGAATTCTGTAGCACCAACACATGCTTCTTCAAATTCACATGAGTTGTAGGAGCAAAATACATATTCCAAAATGGATAAGTCCTCAGTTTAAGAATGAGTTCTGTTCTGGGAGAACATTCCTGAGTCAGATTTATTTGTGAGTCCAACAAAATGAATCTTATAGTCAGTGGACACAAATATACAATGTAAAGCACTGAAAAGCAATCACCAGTGAAATAATCTTCATAATCTGCGAAAACCTGAAACCTAAATATTTGTAAGTTGGAGACTTACTGTGCCATGGACGCACTACAGAAAGTACCATTAAATGTATGCATCCTTTTCAGGTATCAATTGTTTTGGTGGAGGATCACCAAAAGTCACAAACCATGTGCATTATTTTGCCTATGTAAGCTGCCATTTCCCTTTAAAACTCATGTACTTCCAATTTCCACATGCACAACACATATCTTACATATAGGGCTGTCATGTTAGCCAGTAAGAATCTGTCTACTGAATCCTTGGTCTTGAAGTAGGACAGCTGAATTGTGATATGAATTTTAAAATTGAGTAAAAAATAAGCACAAGTAATTAAGTGAACAGTATTTGTATACATGATAAAGAAAACAAGCCCAGGTAGTTAATCATGTGTTGCTATGGAGAAAGGTAGTGGTTCAAAAGGAAAACCATTTTGATCAGAATAATGCTGATTAAAATATTCTGAATTATGATCAATGAAAATAGAACTGCTTTTAAATAATAATGTGGATCTCTATCTGAACCATTAAGAACTAAAATATATGACACACACTAAAGGTTTAGTAAACTCTTGAAAGTGTTAATTTCAAAACTTGCCATTTTCCTTAACTACTTTATATAATATAGCCACAGATGCTGGCATTAGTGGCTCACAGAACATCCTAGTTAGTGAAGGCACAGCCTTACTTCTATTTTCTGTGCTCTTTCTTTGGTGAGAGGTGCAGGCACAAAATACATGTTGCTGTGATCTGCTAAAGAGCGAAGATCAAAGTAGTATTTGGCATAAATGCTGGCAGACACATTAACATTAAACTCAAGCAGACACAAGTAATGCCTTTCCAGTTGATTTCTGTGGAGGAAGAACACAGAAAAATGAACATCAGACAATTTTGATCAAGTAGTCTATCTTCGAAAATGTCATTTTGAGCTTCTAAGTACTGCTGTAAATTCTATTAAAAGTTTCTTTACTTTAAAGAAAAACAAAACAGTAAAAGGGTACAAGTAATACAGAATTTCAAAAAAATAAACAGTAAGAAATCACTAGTTAATAGATTACATAATGTCATATTAGAAATAGTTGTTCAACTTTCAAAATTAAAGCATACAAAGTGGACATTCAAACAGTGAGACTGCAAACAGTTGTGTTCAGTGATCCAACAAAAACTTTATTTTACAGTCCTAAACACACCTTCAGTTGTATCCTTTAGAGCACTTTCTATCTCTCACTTTTTTACAATTACAATTACACATTTTGGGTTTTATTACTCGTACAGTTCTTAATACTGACTGCTGTAAATTCTGAGATGTAGGGAGGCTACTTAACTGATAAGAAAAAATACTCATGTGCCAACAGGCTGTTTTGAATTGTTTCTGTATCCCAGCACTTTTGCATTTGGGTGGACAATAGTTATAGCCTATTCATTACTGCCTATTGCTGGCTCATGATTCTTTCTTCAACGTCCAGCAGTGCATCTGTGTGACTCATGCTTCACACACATTCATCACTACATTGAGCAGAGAAAAAATAAATGTATGCTAATGTTAGCTCTCAAAGGCTTGCAGACATATTGAGGGGGAAGTAGAGGGGCACCAGGGAAAGATGCACCATTCTGCTCTCTGAGGGGCAAGCACTTCAAGCAAGCATTCATCCTAAATTTGCAAGGAAGGAAAAAAAAAAACTCCACTATATGAGAAAGGCAATCCTTTCCCCTGTCTCAGCATAAGAGACTGTGATGAAGGGCATATTATTAGTGGGTTTACAAATTGTGACCATGACAAGATACCCATTTTAAACTTTGGAAGATGGAAAGGTCAAACACAGGAGTCTTAAGTGGACTACATCCCTTGTAGGACAAGAACATTGTCAGAGCCCTCACACTCATGTTTCTGTGCTGGGGAAATCCAAATTGATCAGTATCTGCTGCCCCTCACCAGAAGAGAATGTACATGTGTGGGCATACACACACATGCACAAACACATGCACATGTATGCACACGTGTGAGTTCAGTGCAGTGGAAAGAGAAATGACTGGGTACAGCCCTGTGCTATGTGACTAGGGAGCTGCCTTTGCACCTTCTATACACATAAAATCAGAGCCCATCAGACTGATTTCTACACACATACAACACTCCTAATGAGGGGTAGGCAGGCACAGGAGTCTGGAATAAATTCTGTTGTAAAGACCAGCTAAAGCAAAGGTACAACTTGTGACTCAGACTAAACCTATAGCCCCAGGGATATAACAGTGATCAAGCATTTATTTCAAAAGTCAGACATGGTCGCCCTTAAAGAAGGGAATGGCGCTGAAAGCTGTTAAAAAGCCATGAAGATAAACACAGTAATATGTTATATTGATGGTAAGGTTATAAAATACTTGTCTGCAACCTCCAGAAAAAAATTACAGCTTATGAATCATACCATTACAATAACAATCCATTAAAACAAATTAATGATGGAAAACATGAATTTCTATACTGTAGATTGACAGGGTATCATAGTTTTAAGCTCATTTTTATTTTCTATAAAATGTAATATTTAAAATATTTCTTAAAATGCATGCCTTAAGGGACCAAGTGAGCTGGAACATGGATAGAAAAGTCACGAAAACCTCTTAAACTCACATGTCTTGGAGTGCAAGGTTCTTGAGGATCTGGCAGAAGTATATGTTCCACACAGCCTTATCATGCCAAACCTTGAAGGCAAGAACAATGGCTCCCAAGACAATCCTTTTCCAGTTGGTAGGACAGAGGTCAATCTTAGCATATGACATCAACCTTTCTAAGTAAACCTGCAAAGAGTAGAGCACCGCTTTTTCATTTTAGCTCTGTTTAAGTGCTTTGCTAAGAACTGTTGTACATGATGTTTATTCTGTGATGAGAAAGGGAAGTGCGACTGAGAGATTGTGCTCAGCTAAAGCAAGATGTGAGGTCACAACTGTAAATCAGACATGCCTGCTGCCCATGTAATTTTCCTACACAGTTTTGGTGAGTGGAATGCCTGGACATTGCAACAGAAGTCATCCAGCTGGTAGTATTGCTATCACCTCCACATTCGTGAAAGGCGCAGGTGTAAGTTTGTTCAGTAAATACCAAGTGCCACCAACATGTAATATAACATACAGGTGGTAGATATAAAATGGTTTTAGACATGTTATAGTCAGCTGTGATACCTAACTCAAAGTGAGCACATTTCATCTTTTCATAGTATTAAGCCTTTTGTGGCAATAACTGTGGAGAAAAGCACCTTCCCATGGCTGGTGAGCAGAACAGCATGAGAGGTGCAAGATTTACAGCTATGAAGTTTTTCTGAAACGCAGTACCTTTATAATGAAACCACAAGTAAAACAAGATGGTCCTTCTTAGAGCCCTTTTTCATATTCCCACTATTCATGAATATCGATTTTCTTTCCTACATAATTAGCTACTTATTCAATGCTTTGGCTTTATGATGAGAAGAACAGCTGCCAGCCTGTAACCCTGGGACCCCTAAAGTTCCAGGCAGTTCATGACATGACCTCAGGCACTGTTTACATATATCAAATATCTGTTCTACAAAGAACTAGGTGAGCAAATTGCCGAGTAATGATGACAGAGGAAGCTGTATGCTGTTAATTAAATCTGATCAATACAAAAGTTTCCTGATGCTCAAGTCTCCTAGATAGAAAGCTTAAGATTTGCACATGTACCTATTCACATCCTTGTATACTTGAAATCATTTCTAGGGTATTACACTAAAAAAATTCAAGGTAAATTCCAAGTAAAGGTAGATACACTATACATTTAAGCATTAAGGACAAGGGAAAACAAGGCCATAAAATTTCCCCAAATGGTGAAATTTTAGAAGCAGAGCTCATGGACTGGATATGCTATTTTAACTCTTTCTATCGCAACTATAAAGAAAAAGGCTCACTTTTAAGAGCATAGTTACAATCTGTAAGCTGTCAGGCTCGCAGTCCATATTAGGCAATATTCTTAAACCTTGACTGTATTCATTCTCCAATACCTGCTCCCTTAGCTATTCTAACTATGTTACTGTGTTCCAGGATGCAAATCTTCTGTATATAAGTGATGTGAGATAATGAAACAATGCTGGTCATCTTTTCCATGGCTTTGTTTTGGGTTAGTATTCATTTGTACCACTTGCCTGTTATGTGAGTGGACCACTGTTCTTTACTTTCAAACAAGGCAAACTCTTCCATCAGTATTGGTGCCCCACCCCACTTCTGCTGGACACTGATTATCTCTTTCTGAAGACTTTTTACGTCAAATGTCACTCCCCCAGGTGGTTTACATTGCTCTCATCTCCCTTGCTGAAACTCCAGTACTGCTACCTTTGACCTGGATCACTGTATTATGCCTATGCATATCCCTCATTTCCCCTTCTTTGTTTAACCATTTTTCCTGTATCACTGCACTCTTCTGGAACAGTCTTGCCAATCCGATTGTGGGATGCAAACTTACACACCAGTTATGCATCCTAACACTCCACTCTCCAACCCTTCCTAATATGTAAGCAGCACTGCTCCTTGCCTAGTACTATGAACAAAATTTATAGTGTGACATATTCCACACCAATCTATGCATACTTTCTATTATCTCTACTTCCATTGGTAACATGAAAGCTTTCTGTCCTGAGCTTCCATTTGTCTTTGGTCATCTGCATCACCATGTTGCTTCCTAACCCTTGTCCTCTGCCTCTAATCCAAACCCCACCTGCAGTTTATGTTCCCCAAGACAGTCTGGAAAGCCCTGACATGTAAGGAACAATTCACTGGTAGATCAATATCTACCAAATGTTACCAATCAACCTCCCATGCTTTGCAAATGATGTGTGACCCTGAGAGAGTGATCCTTACCCACAGCATGCTAGTCACCCTGTTCTTGCTTGAGCACATGAAACATGTTCCTGAACTGGGGGCCTACATCTTACCCTCTTGAATGTAATGCATGAGCACCTTGCCTTCCCTGCTCCAGTCAGGTTGTACTTCAAGTGTCACTACTCTGAAACAAGATCTTCCTGGTCACTCTGCCTGAAACTGAAAGCTCTGAAATCACTCTTCAACCTCCTACAATGCTCTGTCTTCTTGACATTTACTGCAATGTGAGATATTCATATACATGAAAAATATCCCATGACTTTTTCACTAGATCATGAGCTCACAAACAGCAAGAATTTTGCTCTATCTCTTTGTTCTTCCCCCGCATAAATATCAGTGAGTATCAGTGAGTGTCAGTGCAACTTCTTGACCTCATTCATCACTCTGACCACATCATCTCTCGCCTTCATTTCTCTTTTCTCCTTTCTCCCATTGCTCTGCCTACTTCTTTTGAAACTTTGCCTTTAACTGCTAAGGACTCCTGCCCACTTTTCAATGAATTCATTCTGTATATTTGAGCAGCCACCGTTCTTTACTTCTTAGTCACATTTCTGTGCCTGTACCCCTACATCCAAAGTATATGAAGATATGCCACAGTTATTTCAAGGAGCATCAAGCTTACCTTGTTTACATGGACACTTCCACCTCCAACCCAGCTCTGCTTGCTGTGCTATCTATCTCTACAAATGGAAATGTCCCTGATGGGTTTCTGTTTCAACAGAGGGCATGACTAAATGCCATCAGCGCAGCTGCTGTCTTAAGTGTTTTTTGTCTTCAGGCCATGTATATGACTTTCCACTATGCATTTGGTGGGGGAAGGACTGGAACAATCTCAAACATTTCACCAGTATTGTAGATGACAAATTCCACCTTCCAACTTCTGTGTGGATAACACAAATATGAGGGCACTTCTACAGTGTATCATGATAACAATGCTTTTTAAAGAACTACTGGTACTGTCATCCTGGGCAACTTCATAAATAGACAGAAGCTATCAACAGGGATGGGTTGATACCCATACCCCAAAGACTAGAGAACTGAAGGCAGTGAATTGCCTGAAACACAGCCTGGGTCCTGTTTTGATCAGCCTAAAATCAGTGTCTGTGTCTCCTATGGTCCTGTTAATGCTCTCCTTCCCACCCCGTAGCATGTGCAAGTGTTCACAGTGTCAGCTCTGTGTATACTGATGTGTGTGGGGAAAACTCTTCAGCTTCCTTTAATTGCATTTGTTTTGTGATGAGAAAATTAAAGACACCATTTTAAATGATAATGCCTAGGGAACCCAAATACATTTACTTTCTTTTGATAGGCTTTTTTATGGTTTGTGTCTAGATGTCTACCCAAAGCCATGTGCACTCAGAGGACCTATTTAGAGAAGGGTGAATCTAGATTATGCAATGCTGGGATTAAGGGTGTGTGATTGCTGGGTCAGATTATTGGTTGGATTGACACTACCCTAATTCCAGTAGACTGCATAAAATGTAAGGAACAGAAAGAAGCTTGTCTCTCCCTGTTTCTCTTATTACTTTTGCTTTCTTCCACTGATATGGGCTATTGCTCTTATGCTATGTTCCACTGAACTTTGGAGCCAGTACATTATGGACTAAATCACTACAAATTGTGAGCTAAATGAACTTTTCTCCTTTTTACAATGGGTGCCCTTTATTTTGTCTCAGCAATGAAAGAAATGTATCAAAGGCTGGTCTTAGTAAAGTTCTCATGATAATTTAAGGAATCTAACTTGAAAAAAGTGACCTTTTATGTGTACAAAACCATTCTATGCATGTTTGATAAAGAAGACACATCTTACCAAAGTCATTATTGCGCATTCAGTTGGTATGCATAGGGCATTAAAAATAATAGCAACAAATCTGTATATACATTCATGTTCAGGATCATGCTGAAAGTAGTCCTCTGGAAGCGTCTCTTCCTGAAAGGAGAAATGATGCAATGCAAGTATGATCTGAAGAAAGCTTTAAATATTCTTAAGACAGCAACCTTCACCTTATGTTCACATGTTCCTGAAAATAATTTTCACTGGGTTGTATGTCATTTCATCTTCTACTAGAGACACTGGGATCTTTGACTTTGCCCAGTGATGCTTTGGTCAGTGAGGATCACATATTCAACAGCAGCCCCATAATGACCACATGGTGCACCAGAGTCATCTTTGTTGTGTAAGCACACTCTGAGGTTTGCACAAGATTGGAATCACTTATCAATACATCTCTCAAAATGTACTCCATTAGTAAGAAGAAGAGAAGTGTGCAAGGTCAGAAAAATCACTATTTCTTTCTACTGTGATTAACAGCATTCTCAGATTGATTTATAGCCTTAAAGTCTTCTAAATTGTATGTTGTATTTCTTTGTACATGGCCTGAAGTCTAAAATATATAATTATTGTCCTGCAGCCACAACCTCTTCTGGAAGTCAGCAGCCAGATGACGGTTGAGCAGTGCAAAGTGATAATATGCCTGAGGAACTGACTTTTAATTTTACATCATTCAAACCTAACTCTTTCTTCAGAGATATCACCTATGCAGTAATGTGTATATCAGATTCTATTGGAAAATATTATTATTATTTTATTAAAAGAGGAAACAAAACAAAACAAATCAAAGCAGTAAAGGGTAAAAATAATACATAATATCTGGACAAATATATGCAGTAAGAAATCATTGATTAATAGATTACATATTTTCATCTTAGAAACAGTTGTGCAAGTTACAAAATTAAAGCATACAAAGTGGAAATTCATACAGTGAGATTGCAGACAGTTCTCTTCAATGGTCCAACAAAAACTCAGTAATGAGTTTTTCTATCCTACACACTTAAATATATATGCAGGTATATCCTTTAGATCACTTTCTTTTCCTCTCTTTTTTACAATAACAATTACACTTTTTGAGTTTTATTAGTCCCACAGACCTTACAACTATTGTTTGAAGCGATAAAAAAGAACAAATGTGACAAAACAAAACAGAGTTAGTTAGAACAGAAGGATGGACTTAGTACATGATGCAAAAACAGAATACCAGGTGATCAACAATGGTTACCATTATGCCTCTTGGTATCTTATAAAGAGTTGTGTATATCATCAGGTACAATAAAATTGAGCAAAACAGTACAGAACAAGACCAGTAAAACCTACATTGGAGACCTTACAGGACTTCAAAAGTAGATAATAGTGAAAGCATAATGGCCATCATAGTAAATCTTATTGTCTTCAAAGTGGTTGCCTATGCCCTCAAACTTGATAGTATCAAACAAAACAGAATAGAGTGAAATAAATCAGACCAGGATGGGAGAGCAACACAGGTGCTCAAGAGAGGTTAATAGGAAAAATAACTGTTACTATATCCCACTATTTTTTAAATTTAGTTTTAACTAACTCTTTCCTCAGAGATATCACCTATTCATTAATGTGTATATCAGATTTTACTGAAAACTGCTTTTGAAAATGTACATTTTCTGATGTTGGAGTAGTACATTTATTCACTTTAGTTCAGTAATAGAGGAGCTTTAAGCCACTTTTGCCCGTATCGTAACCCTAAAGAACAGTTCTTTTCATAGAACATGTCATACAACATGAGGTTGGAAAGCATATGATTTAAATTCAAATAGAAATGTGTGATTTATTTCTGCACTTAATATCAAAAGAAAAAGCATCAAAGATACGATTAGGTAAAAAATGATGATCTTGTAAAACTGACACTTACTGTGAGAGGATGCAGTCTCTCATCAAAAATATCCAGGGATGTATTTGCATCTCTGCAAAGAAAAGTTCATCTAAGTCATTTATATCTTAGTTAAGTACCTGGTAAGGGTAGGGGACTATGGAGAAAGAGGCCTAACCTTCAACATATCAAACAGTTTTACAAATTCTTCTCCTTGATTTTGACCTTAAGACATCTCTTTGTTTAGTGCATCAAGTACTGTGAAGACTTTTCTAAGATAAGCAGGCTAAGTTGCCTATAAGTAATGACACTTCATTATAGGCAATGCTAGTAAACCAGCAGTGCTAGGTATTCAAACTTAGAAGTGTAGTAAATGTGAATGAGATTTAGATTCTCCAAAGTTTTCTTTTCTTCAGTCCTCTATATTTTCATCATGCATTTGTGTTTCTGTTGTGTTAAAAAATGTAGCAGCTTTTGTATAGGAGACCAGTATTTTCATTGAAGTATTATACTGTGTTCCTATAAAGCAATAGTTGGCTGTGGTCTCTGGACCTCTGGAGAACCCTCAGTATCATTTTCAGGAGGCTCAAGACCTCAAACTTCTCTTACAATCATGAAGAATTTACTTATTTTTTGACTGTTGGTCACTTGTTATGCTCGTATAAAGGAAAAAGCAAAACTTGCAATTTCTTAATGTGAACCAAGCCTGTGGCACTAAGTTACATCAGAGGTCATGGTATTTTTCACTGTCACTTACAGTTTGGTTTGAAAACCTTTTATAATTGCCCATGATGAAACAGCAAGGAATAATGTTGGTAAATCTTGGATCATCTTTTTGGTATTATGAAGAAATGAAAAGTTCACATAAAGCATTTCTGCATACTGAAGTATGTTCTCAGAAATTCACTTCGGATTTAGTTGTGAGTTTAACTGTCTTTTTATCATAGAACTCTACTTTTACATGAAACTAGATATATCAATAGAGAACATAGTGGGCCTTCAAGGAAAGTGAAGAAATAGTTGTTGCCAATGTCAAATTCAAGCAGTGAATCTAAAACTTTGAGATTTATGCAAGATGTATACCTTCAAATCTGCCTATGACAGACTCTCAGTAGCTGGAAGACTTTTTGCTAAGACTGGTGATGATAATAACAAAAGTGTTCTGGATGTTGTAAAAAAATCTGAACTGGTAATTTCAAAGCTCACTGATGTATATTATGAATCATGTACTGATAAAAGAATTGCTCACTGTGAAAGACACACCAATAAGAGTTATTTTGTAGCAATTTCAGAGACACAATGTAAAATTCCATTATACCTAACTTAAGAAACTAATGGTTGCAGTGTGTGATGTAAAGTAAAAGATTATCCGTAATGATCTATATTTTAAAAGCACATTTATATCAAAATATATACAATTATGTGATTGGTTAGTCTTCTTATTGTTTCTTCCAAAGGAACTGCCGATGAATCAAGAAAAAGGTGAATTTTATTGTGTTCTATTCAGTCAAATGAGGACTTGTACATCAGTGTAAATAGAGATACATTTTTCAACCAATGTAGAAAGGGAACAGAAATGTAAGAGTTATAAAAGATAGTCATTTTTGTTATGTGTGTTAACAATGTGGTTTTTAATGGGAGTGATCTTGTCCAACAGTAGACATTGTTTGTTATCACAAGATGAGGGAGAAAGCGACTGGCATCTACTAGGCAGAGGACAGCAGTCCTGTAACACATCCTACACTGCATAGGACAGCCACCACAACAAACAGTACCTGGCTAAAAATGTCAGTCGATCCATGATCAAGAAATGCTGTTAACACCTCCCACCTGCACACACACAGGCACACACAAACACATATGCATTTAACTCTGTTTTAATTTCTAAACAGAACAGATCAATATAATCTATGGAAGCAAATATCCTTTGTGATCTTTAAGAGAATATTTTTCAACAGACCTAATTACAATAACAAGAAACCTGAAATGACTTGCTTCCATCTATTACTAAAAGCACAGCACAACCTCTGATGTTTGCAGCCAGGGCCTGATAATATATAGGTATTCTGTAAATTAAGTTGAAGTATAAGGCAAGTTTTTAAGAGCTCACCTGTATTTTATGTGGTAATATACTGCCAACGTCATACTGTGGGAAGGAAAAAAAATATATGTTATAACCAAGATTATTGGTGAAATTGAAGACATGTTTTCAAGGAGAAACTTCCCATAGACTTGTCTTGCAGTTTCAGAGCAGTATCATGTGGGCACTTGCCCCTGTTTAATTTAACTTGCTTATAGTAGACAGATGCCAAATGTTATGCAATGTGACATCAGGACATCTTCTTTTAACTATACATTATTACGTTTTTCTCTGTCATTTGTGTTTCTACCCGTATAACCTCTTTCCCTGGACAAATTCTATAAATGTTCCCAAATACTTAAAACTAAACCACATAATATTTGTTTAAAAAACTTTGAAGCCCGTGCATTTATTTCAGTTGACTTATTCATTATTCACCTGCCCATAATTTTCATTATTTCTCTGAAAGTTAATTAAAAAAATGCTGTAGAACAAAATGAAAATCATTCCTCCAGTACAAGAAAAAGTTTTGTAGTAAATACAAGTGGCCTCCAAACTGATAATAGTTCTTTTATGCTGAAAAGTCAGTGATAGTAATGCAGCCTACATCTGTACAGTACAATATTCATGGGAAATATTTCCAAATTAGTTTAAATAAAGAATAAATAGGCAGACACAACCCTTCATATCATACATTGCTGTATCTCTAAATTATGCATAGGTGCTGTTTATTAGGGTACAAAGGGATTCCCTTGAGTGAGTTATATGCTTTGATTTGCTCTCATTGTTTAAAAGGAAGCTTAACATCATCAAGGGAAGACAAAGCTGAATTTTAAAAGAAGTCCAGAATGTGTTTAAAATTTAAAGTCTGACATCATATGCATCAGGGATGCACATTTTATAGTATTTCAAACAGTTTATCTCCAAACTGCGTTTAATTACAGACTGACCATCATACATTGAAAAGGTTCACCAAAACTTATTAGAAATTTCATCTAACAACCAACCATTACAGAAAAGGGAACCAAAGCTTGCCCAAAATCCAAAAACCAAATAGTCAGAAGCAATTCTTTTCCTATATAGTATTCTCTGGATCAGTAGTTCCCAAACTTTCCTGCACACTGGAATCACCCAAGGAGCTTTACAGTGATCCTTAATTCCAACTTGGGACATTATGATTAAGTGGCACAGGGAACAATTCGGTACAAAGAGTGTTTGAGAAGTTCCCCCAGGTGATTCCACTATGCAACAATGTTTGTGAATGACTTAAAAGTTAAATGTCACAATCGTTGGGCATGCATTATGTACACTACTACATGTAAACTTCATCCTTCACCCCATAGGTATGGGAAAGGGTACTGTAGGCAGGGAAAGAATAAAATAGGAAACTCCTTAGGTTTTCTGGCTAATCCTAAATAGAATGAGTTAAAACACTCCTGGAAAAATTTCCCTTGGCAATAATGTGAAGGAAAAGGGTAGTGAAAAACAAAACAAAACAACAAAACAAAAAGGCACCAAATGGCTTAGGGGCTTGCACCCAAAACCAGAGAAAGAGCTGACAAGCAGAGTACAAAGAAAGTCTTGTGCACAAAACCGAGGTAGCCTTCCTTTTGTACTTCCTATAGAATTCAGGGAAGCAGACTGGAAAGGAGGAGTGACTAACTCTCGGGGAAAACTTGTGTGTGTTCACACCTATGCACTAGCACACACACATACACATATGTGTTCACTCTAGGGTTAGCATATTATCCACTCTAGGAGCACTGTATCACTACAATACACACACACACATCTCGTTACTAACTCAAATGTAATGATGAATAAGGCACCTCTTAGTCAACCAGCTGTCCACCTTGGAGAAAAGGCCCTCTCAAGGACAAATAGAAGTTACACAAAGCCCTCGAAAGCAATGACATAGGCTAGTGAACCTGGTCCAATACAAATAAATCCCTGGGAACCAAGAGGGCTATGGTAAGTTCTAGGCAGGGCAAAGTGTCCTTGGTACACAATAAAGGTATCCAGGAACAAAGGCCTATGGATCTTCCATGTTTCTCTTGTCAGGGTGGCTATTTTCTCCCTTTCTATTGAAACATGCTTTCAAAACTTTGTATCTTTAATTTGTTATTGTATTAGAGTTTATAATCCAGGTGAGCCACTGACCCCAGTGCAGTGGTGCTCACACAGCACATGAGGTGACACCGCATATGTATTATGGCAAACATTCAAATGCTGGTAACTGGGGTGTCAACAGAGGAAACAGCGATTCTTTTTTCCAAGAGTCATTTCTAAATTGTTAAACTGTGACTCATAGAGAACTATCTTTTCTAGAAATATCCAAATATAAAGCACCTGTTCTTTTTACATTTAACAGTGTCTTGCATCATACATGTTTAGTATAAAGAGGCACACTTTTCATGGGATTCTTTAGTTGCTAAAGAATCCCTTCTACCACGAGTGGATTAAAATAAAAATGGGAAAATCACAGTTAGGCCTTTACAATCAATATAGATGTTTTGCGCCAATATTTGAAAGTGGGAAAGGAAGAGAATAATCATATGGCTGAATTTACCCAACATGGCTGGAATGTTTTAGCAGTAGGGGACCTGTCACTGAGGCCTCTGCAGCATCCCTGTACTCACCATTGTACTATGTTTCTATGATTAGGCTTGCTGAGTGTGCTGTCATCCATCCATATTGAGGAGCAGGAGCTGTAGTTCCTCGTCAGCTGACAGTAGAAGAAAATGTCACAGTAAGTTAGACCCACAAATGTTGGGGCTGTTTCCTTGGTTAAAATGTCAAGTGACAAACCATGAAGGTATTTCTTACAGTGCATGAAAGGTCTGAGAGCAGTGTCATGCATATGGGTCTGCAAAATGTTACTGGGGGAGGCTGTTTCTTTTCAGGGGTGTTGGAGGAGTAGGTTGTAAAATATAGCCCTTATTATGCTACCTATTTTCAAATCTGACAAGCATTTAGTATACATCATTTTATAAATAGTATAAAAAGTTTAAAATAAGATTTTCGACTTTTAGCAAGAAAAACAGCTAAGATTTTCTATTTCTACTGTTAGTAACTAGAATAAAATGTAATGCCTTGCATAATATTGGCACAGTATTAACAGTATAGTACAACAAACAAAAGCTTAACACTTAATTCATTAACTAACACTAAGTGTGTTAATGTGATGAGACAAATATTTCACAGTCAAAGGACTGTGCCAGGGAAGCTCAGTCACTAACAAGCCAGGGCGATAGGTCACCTGGACCTGTACCCTTACCAAGAATACACAAGTACTATTTGAAGATTCCCTAACATCTAAAATAGAGGACAAGAACAACTTTGAGAGCTGAACATTCAATTATTTTCTGGGAGGATTTCCATTACATCACTTTGTGGAAAGCCTCAGACACTCAAGATTACATTTAATTCTCTAAAGCTATCTGACACTTATGAGGACACATTTCTGCCTCATTCATGCAATTCGCTGCCTGAGAAGCTTTTTTCGGTGTTTATGTCCCACAGATTTGATCCCACCTACATTCTGGAATACATCTGCCAACAGCTGCATCATAAAACATTTCTCTGAAAGTGTTCCAGTGACAGTGTAAGAGATTGAGCATATTTAATATTTTCCTCAGCATGGGAAAGACCTTAAAGGCATGACCCATTTTGTATAAGTATATGAACATTCTGAGATGGTTAGACAACCTGTTTGGTGATATCAACAACACACAGCACATCTGGGTGAGTACAATTGGTCCACAGGTGAATTCAGATCAAGAATTTAAGAATGAAACTGTCCATGCCCCATTTTCCCATTTTTAAAGATAACTAGAATAGCAAAAAAATTCATAAACATTTCTAAGTGATGCTTAATCATAAAATTTAAAAGAAAAAATTGTAAAACACTAAATGTCTATCATTCTGTCTTATGTATACCCCCTAGTACACACAATATATACTATAACAGACATTGTTTTTGACATACACTTATCTAATATGCCGTAATGTCAATCACTTAACCTTGAAAACAACTTCACTTATGAAATGGAAAACAATTATTCTTTGCTGTAAGTGAGTAGGAGTAGTCCATTACCATAAAGATTCAAACAGATTCATGCATTCACACTTAACAACAAAGTTAGGAAAACAAAAATAATTACACTACCAAATCTGATCTTTTTGGCAATTACACAGCCTGCTGAACATCTGTGATAGAGGACCAAAGTGATACCTCTTTTGTCAAAAAATAAAAATGCAGAAGTCTGGAAACAATGAGGTATTCTCATTTAAGAACTGCAATAATAAAAATAAATTGCATTTTAAAAATTAATGTGACATTTACAAAGTCTATTCAAGCATTGTTTTTCTTCTTCTTGAGTTCACTTTGTCCAGCTCAGATTGTCCCAATTTTCTTCCTGTGGTGCCACACTAAAATATATTAATATGTTGAATTATTTAGGTTTCCCTTGACAAATCTCAAGCATTAGAGCTACCTGGAGATGCTCCTCCAACCTTCCTCGTAAGTATTTCAAGAACTTTCATCTATTTTTAGTTTTAAAAAGCCTATCCAGATGAGATGTCATGGCACATGTTTGTGTCTGTGTGTATTTTGTGTGCAAAAGTCAGCCAGAACCACGTAACAGTGTGCAACCAGAGAGACAGAAGACATGCAAACAAACTTACACAGTGGTCCAAGTAACCCTAAAAGTCTTAGATATCCAGACACTGAATTATCCTCTCAAAATAGTCTCTTTCTGGACAAACTCAAAACATTTTAAATATTCTTTTGGGCCATTTGCTCTCAACATAGATCTGGATGAAAGCCATCAACAGTAACCATGCCAGTACCTTAACATTGAACTGCCTTGAAATTTCTTCAACCAGATTAATTTAATTTCAGCCTTTGACAAAGCCTTTGGATATGAGCAAAATGCAAACTTATTTTCTGCAAATGTAACACACACACACACACACACACACATTTTACATTTCCTATTACTCTCCCACTAGCCAGTTTAAAACTGTTTTTTCTTTTCACTTTTTTCAGTTGTAATAAAAAATACACAGCTGGTATCTCTAGACCTTTCCAAATGATCTTACATGCCACTTATAAAGGCTTCTGAACCATATGGTCAGGTAGCAGCAGCACAGCAATAACCCCACCACCAGCACAAAACTCTGTGTTAGTTACTTTCTCTTCACTGGGAGAAATCATCTGACATCTACAAGTTAAAGGAATCCTTAATATATTGGAGATACATACTTTTAAAGGTCCAAGTTAATACCATTATATGTATTTAATTTAAGGGTCCAAGTTAATACCATTATATGTATTTAATTTAAATACATTTGGTTATTGCTTACACTAGATGTTTCTTTAAACCCTCTAGTGCTTATAGTCTAGAGACTTCTGAAGAGGTCAGTGAATCATGGGTGTGTGATACTGAATTAGTTCACTGAATGGTTTAGCATAGTTCTGTGTGGATAATTAGCATAATTCTGGGTGTGAATGATGGGCTTAATGGAGAGAGAAGATGCACCTGGTTTTGGGTGGCACCAACCAAGAGGCTTATAGCCTGAATTAAATAAAAACTGAAAGGAGGAAGAAGTCTTGCTGCTTCTTACCTGCCATTCCATGCAGTGTATATCCGCTCTCAGGTTCCTCTGCCATGACTTCTTGCTTTGGAGCCAGATGACTGTGGACTAAAACTTCTACAAAATGTGAGCTAAAAGACACCTTACCTCCTTTAACTTGTGGGTGTTGAGTATTTTGTCCCAGCAATAAATAGGTAACTAAGACACACTTACCCTTGAACTACAAGTTTTAATTAAGTTAAAAATGGTGGATTGATTGAACATGCAGCTAGTTCAACTTGCTCCTGAAATATTATTTGAATTAAAGGATAAAATAAATGTTACACATGAGACCTGGGTCCAGAATGGACATCATTTTTGATGTGTGAGAACTGTAAGTTAAATACTGTTAACTCACACGGGAAAATATTAGGGCACTCTGAGGCACAGAGCACCTTGGCATAAAATGTGAAGCAGAGGCCATGAAAAACCATAGGAAATGAATGTAGAGCCATTGTACACCTGTCCTCCATCTCTGCAGGTGCTATGCAGATATTATATTCTATAGACATTAAAACTTAGAGATATCAAGTACATCATGGCTGAGACCTAGACATTAGTGGAGGAAACACTGTACGATGAATAGTTTCTGGAAAGCAGGCAGCTTTGATTGTATTCCTCAGGCAGAGTTTGAAGAGCTTTTTCTCTGATATCAGGCTGTCCAAGAGATTTGGCCCCCAGGTGTTGCCCAAAGCCCTGCAAAGGAAAACCTGATTTCACTGCCAAATTCTCACAGTGGAGCCCACTAGTGAAATGAAAGTTTTGTTCACATACAGTATTTCAGTCCAGGGAATGCCAGGGTCACCCATGTATTTCAGGGAATCCTCTGACAAGAGAGATCATTGTAAGAGGAACAAAGGAATTTGTGGGAGTGCTAGAAATTCAGGAGCAAATTAGAAGTTTAAAAGTACTTCAATACCAGGTTGAAAAATTTCAATTCAAGGAATAACTAATATTTAATCAGAGCCAAAGGAAAAAGTAGAAAATGGAAAGAGGACGGACATTTGACATGAGTGAAGAAGTACGAGTATGAAAAACACAATATTTGAATAAACAAAGTATAAGAAAAACTAGAGAATATATCAAGGACTTTTAAAGAAGAGGGAGTTTTCAGACTTTAAAGACCACCGCAAGGAGATGAAAAAGTCAATAACAAACCCGTCTGTTCTTTCAGCATCCCGAAGATAGAGAAGCCTTTGAAAGCTTCCAGAGGAGGGGAGTGGCTATAGCTGGTTATTCATGAGGTATATAATATGGGGACAGCAGAGTTAAGAACAACACTAGTAATGAGAAGAGCTTTGTGAAAACTGGCATCAACCTGCAAATCTATGTTTTATTAAAAACTATATTTTCCTTTACAGGCCGGCTTCTTAAAATTATCCATATGCCCTTTCACAGGAGAAAGTTTTCCAGTAGGACAGGGGAGCACAAGACAGAGGAAACAAAAGAATCTAGGACAGTGAGGACACTTGCAACAGAGCCCTATGGAAGACAGACTTCAAGGAGATATTCCAGGGAAAGTGAAGCAGCAGGCCTAAGGACAAGCCTGTCACTCTAAGGTAGGAAAGCCAGTGAGGGCGGTCTCTGGGAGAAAACCGAAGCAAGGGTGTTTTAGAATGTGAACAATGTCCTGGTAGGCACATGACTAATGTTACAGCATTGCGGGGATTGTTGTTAAGAAAACTGTCCCATTAAGAATAGAAAATTGACCTCCCTCAAAGAGGAAGAACATGAAAACAGAAAGAGCGCTGGGGTTACTTATCCTACTTGGTTTCGTGAACTAATGCTCCTTAGGGATCGTCCAGCAGTAGTGCAGAGCTGTGTACATTTCAGAAATACTTTAGACAAAGAATTAAATTGTACAAAGAGGCAGAACAGTGTGACTGTTATTACATAACCTAGCAGTAAACAATAGTCATAAATGGTAATTACTTATTTATTTTAAAGTATATGATCTCAATAAATATCAAAAACAAAAATAAAACTGTATGATGCATCTGAAGGAAATTGGGGAGAATAAAGTCATTGCGGAAAGAGGAAGCTAAACATTCACCTGTTATGACGGACAATGCTAAAGACTGATGTGTTAAATAGTTTATTTTGATTTTTAAAAAGATTAAAAATTAAAGCCAAATATTTCATACAAACCTTTAACACTGTGCCCATATTACCACAATGGAACTTAAATATCAGAAACCCTTAAAAATGGAAATTACTAACTCA